ATTTCTTACTATTAGATTACGACCGCTACCCAGCAAAGTTTGTGATTCGATGAAGGATCCTCTTTGCTTGATATCATTTGCGACAAAACTTGATGGACCGCCAGTAATATGGAGTTCTCAGCTAATGATAGCTCCGTAAAGAAAGGGGTCCATTGATGAAGAAGATCTGATAACGGTGCCATCATCACTCAAAACATCTTCACAGAATCATCTTTAATTGTCTAACAGTTGGATTTTTTATGTGTATTTATATCTAAGAAAGAGAGCAAAAGTTCGAGACTTCCAATCAGAGGCGTAAGCACCGAATTTTAACTGAATACCATTCGCACTGCCTTGTTAGTCCTCTATCAATGTTCGTGTGCAGGAAACTGTCATTTGTTTCAAAAAACGAGTGGAAAGTCAGACCTATACAACATTATCAAAGAAGGGGGGAAGCTTTCGTTTTCTGTCGTATCAAAGGAGCATTTCGAGCTCATTTTCGGTTTCATACTCTCACTCAGCTAAACAGCGGAAAAACTTAAAAACTATAAACTTTAAAAAAGAGAAAAAATCTTTAGTTCAACATTTCTCAGGATAGGGTCTTCGACACAATAAGGAGGAGAGCCTGGCGCTAGCCGGGCGATCCGACTGGTATACATGTATATATATATAGTAAGTAAACCAGTCCCTTCAGGTTGAAAGGATGCTTAAAAGCAGGACGGCGCTCACTCATTCCTGCACTATTCTACCTCTGCTCTATGCTGACGGCAAGCTAGGCGGAAAGTTTATGGTGTACTACAAGAAGGGGATGTTTTCCCGCAACAAGGACACTTTGAAGCTCCAGAGGGGTCCGATAGCAGAGGTGCCCACGAAGATGCTCACCTCATTGTAGATTCTTAGTCATCTTTCCGTGATACAGACACCAACAGGTGTGCTGTGCCTGCACGTGTGCAGCGCGATCTATAATTGCATATTTGAAGTAGTGTCAGTTCTTGATGCGCACCTCATTGCAGGATGTAAAATTAAAATGTAAAATATCCCTTCCGGTGCCACGTCACTAATCCAACCTCTAGGCGGTTTTATTCTCTGACCCATGAAAAACATTATGGAGGATCAGAACTTGCGCAATGATGAACACGCGGACTTCAGTATGGCACAGCGAGACAATGCCCTCAAAGCTCTGTCACAAGTATACCAGATATTTTGTGCCCCTCGTTTTTCAACTTTTTGAAATACCATTATTAGAAGGCAGGGTATATCGATTAAAAACCAGGCTCATCCGTCAGCCCGGCGAGTATTTAATAAACCTCGAATCGACTGTTTTGTGAATGGTTGTAGAGAGACGGCATGTATAAGGTACACATTTTGTGAACAGCATATTTCTTCACAATTTTTTTAGATTTTGCCATCAGTGTTGAGTTTCTCATTCGTATATTCTTATCCGTACCAATGTGATTTCTTCTGTGTACGCATCACGGTTTGGAAATGAGGAAAACCCATAGAATCTACTATCAGGATGATTCTTTATGCAGGAATAATGAGCGTCAAGGAAAACAGAAACGTTGAATAAAACAGAATAAGGACCACAAACGTCATAAATTTCCTCAAAATAACTCAGAGCAGAGCACGTTACCAAAGCCTCTTTCGAAAAAAAAAACACTTTCTGCAAAAGCTGGCCTGGCGGCGGGGACCGAACTCACAACGCTGGCCTAGGGAGGGAGACCACTGGCTGCTTTCATAGTCCGCGATTTGGCCCGCGAGCGTGCGAGCGAGCGACCGGGGATGGCGCCTGCCCCTTGTTTACAACTGAATCCTGCTCGATACCGCCGGACCAGTGGTCCCCTGTTCGCTTGCTCGCGGATTATGAAAGCGCCACTGTCTCTGCTCTACGACGGGCCTTGCGGCCGTTGCGGGCAGCTGCACATTTCAGTTGGAGTGAAACTATGATGGCTCGAAACTCTTTTAGCAGGTTTACTTTGCAGTTTTAATTGCTAAATTGGCAACGAGCATATCAAACTCTATCGAAATTCATTGGTCCCTATTTTAAACTCCATGGGAATTTGAAACCCTTCCCTGGTGAGGCCCAATGTCGCCCTCCTGCCCCCTGCTAGATGGGAATCGTTGGGCGCCGCGCTTAGGAGCGACGTAGACTTCGACAAGAGGTTTTTTCGGGCGCTTGAGCGGCGTTTGCTGTCAGCCCTGAATGTTGCTTTGGCCCACGCAGCCTCTACGCTGCTTCCGCACCCAACCATACGCTGATACGCTAGCGACTTCTTACGATAAAGCGACGCGCCTATCTGGATGATGCGTTTCAGGACGTGTGCCCCGACTACGACACTCAACACAGTATTCATGAAAGACCTTCATGTGTATGACAACATAGATTGAAAGGAAAGGGATAGTAAAAAAGCGACATATTTAAAAAAGGAAACAATCAAATGTTTTAATGATCAAATACTACGATAATGACCAAATAACCGACGTGTCACAAGAGTCGAACCCATCCGGGCCTACGTACTACTTGAACTCGGTGCCTCTAATTGCGGGGACAGCGGTTTTGACGGGACCTTCACTAACGACCCCGTTCCCTTCCCTTTTCTCTGCGCTCTAACCATTCGCTGTTAGAGACGCAGAGAAAGCACAAGCAGCCACGTAACCGTTTCATCGATAGGAGATGCCTTTGTTAACTTATACGGTAGGTAAGCCCTTATCAGCCTGTTTTTTGTGAGCAATGGATTTGGGAAAGTTTGGGCAAAGAAAGGAAGCTTATTCGTTCAGGGCAATCATCTAGACTTGGCCCATCAAAGAACATACTTGAGACGAAAAAATCGCTCATTTCATTTTCTTGTCACAAAAGCCCAGTCTACCTTAACAGTGTTCGACTTCTACATTGAAAAACATTTATTTTAAGTAGCACCATCAAAAGCACTGTTCACGATAGTGTTGAGGTACCCTTTTTAGCGCGAAAAGCGGAACTGCTGGTGGACAATGGCCCATCGGTGGTGAGGAAAGTTAGAAAATTCGCCGACTTAGCGAAAAGTAAGCCTTCCTAAAAGTCGTGATAATAAAAGTGATAATAGAAGACTACCATTATGGATATGGCATGGAATAGATATTCAGATAAGATTTCAGTTTTTCCAGTGGCGTATGGAGCTGACTTCATTAAGCCAAAAATACAAAAACTGCCTTCCAGCGTCATCTGAGGTCACGACTAGTCGTTTGGATTTCCAACGTGGGTGTCCTTGGGGTATGTGTCATCTCGTACGTCCGAGCACGCGCGCGACAACTTGCACGGCGAAGTTGGTGACGATTTGTACGACTCCGACACCAATTTTCGGGGCACAAACTCGGAGTAGTTTAGTAGGGACCGATGATCCTTCTAATCTACTCTACTTCAAATTTGGGCTCCAATAAACGCCGCAGTCGTCCGAATCGCCACCAACTTCGCCGCACGCACGAGGTGACCGTCCCCCGTGTCCGTGTGGGAGATGCAGCCGGGAGGCAGGCGTTTGGCGCCATCGCGCCGTACAACTCAATCAGATCGCGTAATCTTCTGCTCTCCTCTCCTCTATGGATGATAGCAGCCTAATCGATCATCTATGGAGGAGAAGAGAGCAGAAGATACGAGATCTGAACGGCATCTTTCATAGTCCACGACCGGTCGC